ATAACAGGCGTTTTTGTTTTCTCGGAAAGCATGTGGGATACTTGAATTGGGTTTTGATTCATGCTGTGGTTCTGGTGATTCCTTAAATTACTTTGAGTAGCGTTGAATCGCCTGGTAGCAAGCGGTAATGTCATTGGTTACATTGTGTATTTTTCCAGACTTACCTCATTTTTGAGTGACAGCTGAATGTTTGTACGTTTTTAGCGTAGAGGTTCCTCCGTCCGGCTTATTGGCCTTTGTCTCCTCACTTCAACAAAGGATGCCGCCGAATTAGTGGGGCGTCCAGCTGTTCCATGACACGGATCGGAGACTTCCCCCTATTTTTTTTACTAAAACTGTTTCGGTGACGACGGATCGGCCAACGATGAATGGGAAAAAGTGGTGAATGACGAAGCGCACTGAACTTTTCTTTGTAATTTGTTCCAGGCTGTACACATATATCCGACGTGTGTCGTTCGTATTGCGCACTGTTTATGTAAAAAAAGAGGTTATATTACCAACATTTTAGGTAATGGACAGTTCGACAAGTGGGCTCACGATTGGTTATTACTAAGTTACGAAAAAATGAAGTTCGCCAGCCCGACAATCAACGTTTACTCCGCTGCGCTCCTCCAGAACAACCTCACAAGTATGCGTGGTTCTTATGTATGAACACGTAGAAGCTGTAGCAAGAAAATTACAGTTAGGACATCTACAAAAAGCGACCATTAGACGGGAATTGTTCATTTCCCTTTGTGTAGGATATCCGATGATTTACGCTAATGAGTGCACAAGGTGAATTTGAAGCAACAACCATTCATGCAGTTAAATGGCCTGATTGTTTCAAGCAAAAACGCATGATCGCATCGAAAAAAAATATACTGTTCCGCGACTTCAGCGGAGACCACTGTTTATCTTTTGCGCGGCATGGTGTTTATGCACGGGTTGTTTCTTAGTGAGTCTTAGTTACAGAAATGGCGAAAAATAGGACATGGGCATGCTCGAGGTGGAAAGCATTCTCCGCTCAAAAATGGTCGATGGCGACGTTTTTATTATGTGAAATGGAAGAATTATCCGATGTTAGTTCGAGATTTTTCATCTTTCTTGGTCACGTAGCGCATCCATAAATGGCTGCTGTTGTTAATCTAGAGGGCAGCGCAAATCCAGTGACGTCACTAAAATCGAATCTCCATTTCGATTGTCTAGGCTTCTTGGTGATTTCGCAGACTTCTAGTGTTGACTAATATGGGTCAGTTTTCCTGACAGCTATTTCATCTCCAAAATAATACAGGGCGGGAATTCTTCAGCCCTCTTCGTACTATATGGGATAATAATGTATTCATGTTTTCAGATATTAATATTTTGGTACTCAGTTTCTGAAAATTCAAAAAAATTTCAGATTGCCACTGGAGGCCAGTGGAGAATTTTATCAACTCTACTGAGCTAATTGAAGGATGCGAGCGTCCACATCAAAACCAGAAAAAGGTTCGCTTTTCAAAAAAATATAAAAGTTCGAAACAGGATAATTTGCTGGCCGAGCAGCTAGGTCGTTTTCAAAGAACGCTTGTCAAGCAAAAATCGTTTATTTCCCTTTGTACGAAATTTACGATGGTTTACGCTAGTGTATGCATCAAAATAAGTGTAAAGCGGCAAGTTTGTTGCA